AAGCCCATAGTTGAAAAGGAAATTATAGAGATAGTGAATAAATGTGGTAACAAAACATCTAGTGATAGTGATGGTATCACTATGACAACTGTTAAATGGGTAATTGAGGAGATATGCAAACCATTAACCCATATTTTTAACATGTCATTTCGACTTCAAAAGCCCCTTATGAATAGACCAAGATCTAGTCCCGTGACGTCGCCCGGCATGGCGCAGCCGGGGCCCCACCCTGGAGCCAGGCCCGGGGTTGGGGCTCGAATGCGAGCGCCTGGTGGCCGGGCCTCCCCCCACGGGGCCCGGCCGGGCTTAGCCCGAACGAGTGACGTGGGGACGTCCTCCTGTGGGCTCACCACCTGCAGGAGGATCCGTAAGGGGCCGGTGCATAGTGGATTGGGCAGCAGTCGAAGGCGGGGGCCCCGACGGCCCGATCTCTGGACACGGAGACTAGCCCTGGGGACATGGAATGTCACCTCGCTGGTGGGGAAGGAGCCTGAGATTGTGCAGGAGGTTGAGAGGTACCGGCTAGATATAGTCGGGCTCACCTCCACGCACAGCTCGGGCTCTGGAACCTTACTCCTTACCAGAAGTCGTTCTGGTGACAACTAAATGCCTAAACCCCAACTCTTACCCTAAACTTTAGTCAAATCTTAACCGTCAAACAGCCAAAGGGCTGTCCTTAGTACCATGGTATAAAACTCAAAGTTAGCAATATCTACACACATTCCTGAAAAGTACAAATAGGATGTTCTGTACTGAAGCAGCTTTGATAAAGAACTTAACTTTGTACTTTTTGCATCATCATATGACAGAGCTTGTAAACCCACAGTTAGCACTTTCATTTACAAACCCCATAAGATATTCCAATAACACCTTCCTGGAAGATTCAAAACTTAGCAGGCTATTCAGTAACAGGTAAGAGTTTCATGGCTAGGTACAAAGGGAGCATCCAACAAAGTCTCAGTCTTTGCAGTCAAGGATGAGTCATGGCTCATTAAATGACAGAAGGTAAGGACAAATTTACTTAACATTATTGCACTATATAGTCTCTGGTCTGCTTTAAGGGTGATGCTATAATATTCTGAATATAATGTTAATGTGCAGTGGAGTAAATAAGGCCCCACAAGACAGAAAAACAAAATCCAAGGAATAACATGAAAAAGAAAACATTTCTAACATAACTGATTTTGTTTAAAACACAAAGAGGCTGTAGCCTAGCAGTCCTAATTTATTTAGCATCAATTCACGCAACATTTATAAATCACATTTGTGTGATTTATTGATCGATACAAACCTACAAAAAATAATGTTCTGCTTCTCAGCTGCTCCATTAATGTGAAAGCTGAAATTTGAAAAAATAGAATGTTTCTTTGTACTTTTGTCAGTTAAAGGTTCAAGTGGATTCATAAATCAGCTTTATTTTTGATTGCATTTTGGAAAATGTGCCAACTTTTTGGGAAACTAGGTTTTTATATCAGCAGCTGCCTCAGAATCTTATCTTTTGTTGACAGTGTTGCTGCTCTGGGGAAACAACCAAACAAAACAGTTTCAACACTGACCTTTGGCTGCTTTGCAATGTTTCTTGGAACTGTTTACTTTGTCACTGGACACTATAAATGTATGAAGACAGGCTCTTTAGTTTGTGAAGAGATGTCCTCCCAAGTCAGAATGAGGCTGCTGCCAAGCGCCAGATGCTTGTTTGATGAGCCTGTTCAGCTGAAGGTGTCTGGGCTGAGGTCGAGACAGGTGGTCACTATGAGAGCCAGATCTGCTGATGAGCGAGGAGTGGTGTTCAGCTCCTCAGCCACCTACAGGGCTGATGGGAGAGGGGAGATCGACCTGGACAGAGACCCCTCACTCAGTGGGAGCTATGTCGGGGTTGAACCCATGGGGCTGCTGTGGTCGATGAGACCAGACATCTTACACAAAAGGTTTCATAAAGACAAGACCATAACCCCCCATGTTGTAAAGCTCTCTGTTCATGAGGGTGAGGGGGAGGGTAGGATGCTGGCAGAGGCGACCAATGAGAGGCTTGTGATGGGAGAGGGCGTCAGCCGGGTCTCTGTCAAAGAGGGGAATTTTGAGGGAGTCCTGTTCACTCCCCCAGGTAAGAAGTTTTCCTCCTTATGTTTTGACCATATTTACAGCCTTTTAGTGTGTTGTTTTGAATGTATTTAGCTATTGTATTTATTTATTAGGCCACCATGACAATAGCCACTCAGGCTTCAC